AGCTTGCTGTTGAGAACCGGTAGTGCCCACTGAGATCTGGAGCTTGCACTTGAAGTCCGGCAGTGCCCACGACCATCTGGCGCTTGCTGTGGAGGTCCGGGCGTGCCCGCTGCGATCGTGAGTTTGCTGTTGAGGTCCGCATTCGTCCCGCAGACTATTCAATACCTTACGTGTGAAGGTCTACAGGGCGGAAGCCCATGGTTCACTTCATTTTGCAGCGGACATGGAATTATTGTCCAAACATCATGGATTATGTTTTAACAGCATGTGCATCGACTGAGTTGCCGGCTGTGGCTACTGGAGAGCTGAAAGAATACAGAGTCACACATTAATGTGACATCCGTATTAAAAACGGGGAGGTTTAAACCTCTCATTAATGTTCAAAAGGTTTTTCTGGGGGTCCATATGGTCAATATATATATATGTAATATCCAATGGAATTCATGTCATGTGCTTTCATTATGGTATATGTTTTCATTCTAATTCTGCTTTCATGTTGCTTTCATGATGCTTTCATGTGCTCTCATTTTGCTTTCATTCTGTGTTCAGTTGATTTCAATTGCTTTCATTCTGCTTTCATGTGTTATCTCTCTGCTTTCATTTGCTTTCATGTTGCCTGCATTTTAATTGTGCTTTCATTATGTTTTCATATATGCTTTCATGTTGCTTTCATTTCCCTTCATTCTGCTTTGATGTCGCAAGAGTGTGTTTAAAAGAGAACCCCCCCCGAACAAAACATTCCAAAGCAAGCCAGGAGCCACAATAGGGAGAGGGTAACTACTTGTGGACCTCCTCCCTATTGTGGTTCCTTGGCACTTGTAGGGGTACCCTTTGCAACAAATATATGTATATATATATATATATCAGCCTTCACCTGAGAGATGGTGAACGGTTCTTGGGGTCGTACCTACATTGCTGCCCCCCCAAGCCAGCAAAAAGCAAAGGCTATCACTACCCACCAAAGCACCCCAAAGCAGGTTTGAGGTCCCCAAAGCAATGTGCTTGACGCTGTTAGTTGCTACGGCAAATATTTAATTTGGGGCAGCTGCTAAATGCATACTATTTACCATTGGCATCCATTTGCAATCCTTTGCCTTAGCACCTGCTATTGCGTTGCAGTCCTTGAGAGTTTCAGTACCAAAGTACGGAGAGATATCGGACACAACATCTGATACAAGCTATTGAAACCAAACCAAGTGGAACAGTTGACCATATCTTTCGAGTACATCCCAACAGCAATATGCTAAGATCGTGAACCAACGTCGCGGTCGGCTTGGGGAACTCCAGTCACTCCGAGTGACCCTGCTCCCTGTGAAACCATAGGGGAGGAACATGGAAGAACCTCTCGCGACCCGGTTGCCCGCTGCTCCGCGCCGCTCCGCGCCGCTCTGCGCCGCGTCGCTGGGGGTCGCGCCCGCCCGGCCTGGACGGCGGTCCGCTGCTTTGGCCGATGCCTGCGGTCGGCCCGGGAAGCTGTGAAGGATCACGCGCCGAGAACGGATCGTCGCCGGTTCTGTTTTGGGGCACGAGGAGAAGCACATGCAGGAACAACTAAGGCAACCAAGGGGAAGGTCACTTTATCCTGCTAAGTGTTGGGGAGGGTATATACAGCAGTTACACTTGACACTTTGATACTCCTCTCACTCTCTAATTTAATATCAATATTTCTCAGCACCTCTTGTAGTTCAATCTGAAAGTCCCCTTGCCTAGTGACCTCATCAAATGTCACAAAAGACATCCTCCTTGAACCTCCCTTAGCCTTGCAACCTGCTCTTTTGGAAATGATGTGGGAAACAACTCAAAGGCTTCCTGTGTCACAAGAATTACTGTAAAGCACACTTCAACAAACATTGCCAAGGCTGTGGTTGCGCACAACCTGTTAACCTGCTGAGCGTCTAGATTCTAGATTGCATGCCCGAAAGATTTAGCATGATTTAGCACATGTACGCTAATGTCAAGGAATGGTCAGCAGTGGTCCATATCCAACAGGGTAGTTAATCTCCTTCCTGCGCACCAGCTAGAAGTGGAAAGTAGATTTCAGGAAGACCATGCATTTGCTCTACAAACAGGGACTTCTCCACTTCCATGTGAGTGACACGTATTTATATGTATGATGTATTGAAGATGTTTCCCATCCCTTTCACTGAGTGTGGAACGTATCTGGTTCATTTTCTTGTCCCAAAAGTTCACCCGAACGTCCTCGTCGCTTCCCCTCGCGTCCAGTTCGCCACCGTCGAGTTCGCCGTCTCGCCGTCTCGCGACGGTTCGACTGCGGAGACCGCGGTGCCTTACTGAGTTGAGCCTTCGTGAGCCTCGCTGAGTGGTCGACACAACAACATGGGCCTTCAGGTAGGGCAAAATGATATGGGCCAGGGGCTTCAACAAACATGACACTGCGTAAGTACAAGCAATCCTGACCACTCGTCCTCAGTCCATAGAGCATACAACAACAGTCAAAAGCATTCAAAAGCATCAACCTGCACACCAATGCACACCCTCCGACCACCATCGCAACAAAAGAATGACTATGCCAGCCACGTCACATCTGGGTGTGAATTAAAAAAGGGGACCTCCCAGGCAACGACCCCTGGAAGAAGGAATGTAGACCACTCTACCCGTTGGGTCAGGGGTCTCCCTATTGAAATACACACCATGCACACCCATCTGGATGATGATCTGTGTCTCTCGAATGAGCTGAGGATCCCAGCCCCATGTGAATCATCAAATAATCCTCCTGGCTCTTCTTCTTGTACTCCCTTAGTGATTTCAGCCACGCCGTTCCCGGCGCTTCTGCCCGGCACAACCCGCACACGTGGTGGGCCCGGCGATCCGAGAGCGGCCAGGCCATGGCCAGCAGTGGTATATATAGAGACCAGCCAGCACCACCCAGGTCGGGTGGTTGATAGACCCCCCTGAAGAGGTATTCTCAATAACCACCCAGTTTCTGGGTGGTGCTGGAGGAAACAACTGAACCCGGGCTTGATGTTACGCAAAGGGCATGCAGCCTTGATTCGCCCCCTGCCTCTTTGGGTGACGTGACAATGAGGATGGGCAAACATGTCTATATACGTCGATCAAGATGTTTGGAAAGAGACTCCAAAACCAAAAGAGACTCCAAAGATTGATCACTTTTTTGGTCCAATAATTTTCACTGAAACTATATACTGTATGTTGAACATGTCCGATGTAGTTTTTAAAAAAGACTCTTGTTTGTTTCTGAGAGGGTGGGCACTTTGGCCAAAACATGTCAAAACCCTGCAATTGACCTGGAAATCTTGCCAGCAGGGATTGTTTTCTAGGGGGATCCAGGCTAATGCAGGGATGATTTTGGTGTCTATCCTTCAGCACGTTTAGCGCTATGAGATCGACATCAAAACGACGCCGGTCATGTCTCGTGTCTCCGACACTTCAAATTTGGCACCTTTTCTCCGCGGTGCTCAGAATTGGGTCCTTCGGTGGCACGTTTTTCCGGCCACGTGAAGTATCCCCATCCGAAAACTGCACCCGACGAGGACAGGTGACGGATATGAGTTCGGAGCTTTGTCCACATCAAAAGCCAAGAAACCGTACGGTTGATGGAAGAAGTCATGACCGTAAGGAAACCGTGAGCGCTCACTGCGTGTTACGACGTAAGGTAACCAACGACCGCCGGTCGCAGTTCTTCCCTCAACAGTGTCAAGAAAACTTGGACTATGCACAGGCAAATTTTATATGTCCAGGGTTAGAAAAGCATTGTCATTAAACATGTGAGTCTTCATTTCTGCGGAGACCGCCACATGATGAGCGTCCAACCTTCTATATAGTCAACCCCAAACTGACATGGACCCTGAAAATGACCCCGTGGCCCGTGGAGGATCATTTTCCCCTACAACCGGTTTGGAGTGTCCATGTTGGTCTTCCAAAATGCTGAATCAACATGCTTCGCCTTGAAGGAGGCAACGAACATGCCTCCTTATAAGGATCCACCCCACCAGGCTACCGAATCAAGAATGGCCATCCGGAGTCCATCTACTTGGAAGTGTAGCGTTGACATGCACTTTCCCTTGTATACCGAATCAAGAATTCCTGCAGCAGCTCATGATGAGGTCTGAAAAATTGTCATACAAGTTCAGCAAAGCCAGAATTTTGCGGCAAAGTTGTATGTTGACCACCGCCTTTTGTCATTCAACTTTGTAGCCATGACTCAACCAAGATTCATCATGGCATTCATTTCGATGCATTCTGTCGTTGGTTCTTCCCCCCCCGCTGTCCAGAAAAATGCATGTCTTTGGTTCTTTCATGTTCTTTCCTTGCCCAACGCCATCCAACACGCCGCAAATCATGGAATCGGACCTCCAATTGATGCAATCATGTCGGTCCGGTCGGAATTCCGGGTATTGAGAATGTTTGAGAGTCCAGTGAGTTCCAAAATTCGCCCGTGCACCTGCTAGCGCTGCCCGTGAGTCTCGCATCAGCCATCAGCTCGAGCTGGATCGATTGATCGCTTCGAGAGCCACAATGGCCGAGCTGCCCACGCCGGCCAGGAGTCCGAAGATGAATAGCAGGTGTCCAGCCCATGTGCCAAGAATCAAACCTCAGGAACGGCCCCTTTTGATACAAAGGGCCCCCTTTCAAGGTGGAGGGTTTGTGATCTTACATGGTACATCAATCTACCCCAAGAAGGCTTTTTCCTCTCCACACTTTATGGAGATCGATATGTTCACTGTTCCGAACGATGGGACATAATTGGGACGGTGTCGTTTGGTCTGAGTCTGATTCCCACAATAAAGTACAGGGACCTGGTGACAACAGGTGTCCAAATTCGGCCCTAGGACCAGTTGGAACTCCCAGCTCGACTCTGAACGGCTCTCCTTCACTACTAAGGGAACATGTATACCAACCCCTTAGTTTCCTCCTGAGCACCAGCTATAGCTATAATTTTTGGATGTTAATGTGTGTTTATATTACCCGGTTTCTGACACGGGTCCACCCTGAGCTGTGCTCTCCAGCCAAATCCGTCGATGGGATCTTTATTATATATATTCCCCCTCCCAAGGGGCTTTTGGTCCTACAGAAAGAACCAGAACATATGGCAGTGGATCAAGAAGAATTAGAATTAGATGAACCATGATGAACTAAATTCAAGCTAAATATTCAAGCACCGCACAAAAAAACGGTCCGCGCACCGCAAACTACATCTGATGTACGTACATCTCTACATTATGGGGTGCACTAGCGTCTTTGTTTTTGCTTTCTGTGAGAATTGCAGAGCTATTCCTTAATATGTCAGGACTATTCCTTAATATGCCAGGACTATTCCTTAACTATTCCTTAGTATGGGCAAACAAACTATTCCTGCATAATATGCAGCATATGCATGTCTAGACTGTTAGTTAGGCTATACTATTTCCTGCTTATATGTTCTGTTTGTAGCTTAACAATCATAATCATAATGTGAATGAGGTGGTGCTCCCATGGCACTTGTGTTTACTCTTCATTTCATTTGTTTGGGCCACTGGGGGAAAGCTCTCAACACCCTCTAGGTGCACACTGCACACGGTTTCTAAAGGACCCAGCGAACCCAGCCCAGCAGTTGACACTACCAGCACAGCTAGTGAGGCCCATAGGAACTTCCAAATCAAGTAAGTTTAGCAACCCAATTCCAACATATAGTGGCCCTGGTGATTGTGGGCACTGAAGGGAAAAACACCCGGCCTTAAGGCAGCTAGGGAATTTGTTGGAATTGCGAATCACAGAAGATACCTTGCCCCCATGATGTGATGTTTTTTTGATAGACTGATGGGGGTCACTAATCACTAATCGAGCAGCTTCCTTTCCTGACTCTCTTAACTCGCCGGCCACTTCTCCACCCACCAGCAAGTGAACCACTGCGTTCATGTTGAACACATGAGTCACATGGGGCATTGCAGCCTATAACTACATATAGCAATCAATCACATATAATATTTATAATTAATATATCATAAACTTCTTTCACCTGACCTGGCCCTTTTTGCATGAAGTGGTTCTGAAGGGTGTCCACTCTTAGTGCGACCTTGCCTCATGGCCTCTGACCTGGCTTCACCAGCTTCACTGGATATGGAGGAAAGAGAGATTCTGGACCAGATTCTCGACCCTGGAGTGTGACTTGGATGATGTGTTCTGGGTAGTTGTTGCCAAAAAGATATTGTACTGTATGTTGTTAAGTCTAGGATCCTAGAACATTCCAGGACCGCATGCCCAGCCCAACAAGCCTATCTAACTACACACTGACACTGCCTTGAAAGAAGCCACCCACTTGGAGTTGAAATTCTAAACTGATGGCTGATGGCCAGAGTTTATCTCTTGGGGATCCCAGTGCGCATGAGGCCTTCACGTTCAGAAGAAGTTGGCGACTCTGTGGACAAACCGCCCTACTTGGATTGGGCTGAGGTTTTGACATCGGAACTGGGAAAGATCGGCTTGCATACTTCAGTCTTTGGCAAGAAGACAAAGACACTCACATTCGCCTTGGCACCTTTTTTTCTACGGCTCTCAGAAATCTACTTGATTTGATTTGCTTTGACTTCTTTGACAGTGGTACTGGTACTGGCCAATGGGCCATGGTAGCCAGTCAGATTGCTTGAGGTATACAATGGTGGAAGCATGCGCTGGTGCGGGGACAGGCACATATGCCATGTAGCTCAGCTACATCTTCCACAGTCAGAGGCAGAGTCGGTTAGGTATTTTGCTTTGTGTTTTGTCATTCCAACATTTCCAAAAGGTGGAGCAGTACTAGGTCAGGTCAGTAGGTGGGTAGGTTACCTGAAGCACCAAGTATGCCAATGCTGAATCGTCTAAGGCAAGATCTCTCGAACCATTTTGGTTTCTTCTGGAAAACGTCTTCTCTGTCAGAGAGGTCCTTGATGAAGAGGAAGTGGCTGCAGCAGCACTACAAGTCCAAGGGTGGCTTGCTTTGAAGTTAGTTACTAGACTAAACACTACCCACCACTCATTAGCACAGTGCAATGAAAGCTGTCTCAAATCAATCCTGCAAGTTGCACCCCACCTCGTGTTCATCCATCCTGTTGTTCAGATATTGCCACCGTCGCCTGTCCCGCCTGTCCCTGTTTATTGTTGTTGACTCCATTGATTGCCACTGATACTGATACTGTACTGTTGTTACAACCGCCCAGAGCCAAGTTGACCATATCTTCAAAGAGATGATCTATGGCACAGAAAGTGGCCCTTGTGACTTGCACGGTCACGTTTGCAGCACGGATCTGGAGCAGGACTTGGGGTTGGACTTGGATTTGTGGTTTAGACTTGTTTTGTAGGTTCCATGTTTGGGAAGAATCATAGCATTGCATTCATAGCATAGCAGCGGTTTATACAGTACATATTTGTAATTCGTATGACATGTGACATACTACTACTACTACTACTACTACTACATAAATTATGGATATTGTTGACGGGTTTGGCATTTGGGAGTGGAGGTGAGGAAACAAACTTGGAGATTCACAAGCCAGCAAACACCTCCAACTCATCTGACTTTGTGTTGTGATCCGGGTGCATCATGTGGCTAGCCTCAAAGGTTCACAAGTCCCCTCCTATTCTTTTTTTGCTTGGGCTAGTGCTAGTGGACTGTGGACTGTACTTTCAACCAAGTCAATATGTGTTGTTTCCCCTTGGAAACTGCAAATTGGACACCCTCAAGCCCTCAACCAGTTCCAACCCTGGTGTATGTGTGTGTGGGTGTGGGTGGGTGAGGACCTTTTCCTGTGGGGGGCCACCTTGTCAGCCATATTCAGTGCTGAACAAGAAGCGAGCTGAGCCAGATTACAACCCACTACTTTCCGATGAGATGAAACCGTTCCTCCTCGGATCCGCGCACATAAGACGCTTGTTTCATTTTGGTTGGAGCAAACAGTGGGAGCAAAACAGTGGGCCAGCTCCTCACTTGGCAGGAAACAGTGGAACTGCTGCTCTGTTTTGCTAGCTGCTTTGTCATGAGTCATGGGGCAAACAAAAAATCTATGGAGTAGACAGACAGTAGACCTTGACTTCATGTGAGAGTGAGTCAACCAAGCTTTTTCCTTGTCAGGTGAGTCAGACATTTTAAATGTGGACCTGGAAAATGTATCAAGAGGATTTGCCAGTATACGGTATACAGCATACTGGTACCAATACGTTAGTACCGTACTAGTCCTAGTGCTAGACTAGACTATACTTGATACTGTGTGCAAACTTGCAAGCTAGCAAACTGCAAACCACTGGTTTGCCTGGCCAAGGAAGGAGACTGCCACGGGTTGCAATCATGGAAGAGGCCACTCCATGTGTTGTTCTTTGGGCTGTTTGAACTTTTGACCGTGACTAATTGCTCGACTTTACAAAAGACTTTACCTGCCCAATACTCTTGGGTCTTTTTGAGTGATGATTTAAGGTGAATACAGTACAGTGAGGCATGTGACTCATGACTCCTCTGTCATGTCATATGAGATGCTATGCGCTATGCTATGTTGTGTGTTTGATGTTTTGCTTTGCAGTGAAGGTAGTCTCAGCAACATGCCGAGGGCCATGGGCCTCACAACGTTCTTTGTCATTTGTGGTTTTCCAGGTGAAGAGACCTTCCCAAATACAAATGATGAGAATTGAGGAGTCAAGATTCAACTGCGCTGCACTGCTGTATTGTTCCCATTCCTTTGGTTTCCAGCTCTTCGGCAGGTTCTTGGCATTTTTGACGAGTTCCCTGAGCTCCATAAGACTTCAGAGTTCGGTAACATCAAGGCTGGATGAGGGAATGGACTCTGGACAACCAGGGACCTTGAGGCCTGTTCATTACACACATCACATCAAAATGCGATCACATGTGATTGGATGGCTGACCATTCTGCTCTGACAATATCTGACAATACCGCCCTTGTTTCTTCTCCAGTGCCATGGGCCATATAGTACAATTACTGTACTCATAGTCTGTGACAAAGTGTTGTGAGGTGTTTCTGATGTTCAGCCACTAGGAGAACCCTGCATTCAACAAGCAGTTACACCACACAGCCACACAGTACTTAAAACCTGCGTCCGCAAACAAACAAGGGGGGACGAAAGCAAGAAGCAACTTCCACAAACATGCCTTGCCACACTGATCATATGTAAAACATAATCAAACGAGTCAAATGAGCATTACTATTACAGCAACACGCAACAAGCACATTTATGTGTTTGAGAACAGCACACATTTCCAACTTCCGACTAGCCATGTTTCGACCTCCACCATCTGAGCAAGAGATCTCTGGTGGTGGGGCTACAGGGCAGCAAAACAGATATGCAAATTCAACCCTCGATGAAAGGAGGAAAAGGACGGAGAAAGCCAGAGTTCAAAAACTTCTGAAGTCACAAAGGAAAAAAACTGATGGCTGGAGTTGAGACAGCATCCAGTGTCAAGGCACTTGCTCCAGCAGAACCAGAGACTTTTGATTCCCATCTGCAGCGCTGGTTCTTTACAGATTGTTTCTTTTGTGCTCAGAGGCAGGAGGACTATTTCATTGACAGGAAGACCTTCTTCAAAGATCGTGCCCGTTGCGTGTATAGCCTGATTCTTGCACTGGTGGTTTT